AGAAGGTAGGAAGGGGAAGAGGAAGAGTAGGAGCAGGAGAAAGGTAAGGGAAGAAGGAAGGGGAAGGAGAGGAGGAAGGAAGTAAGTAGAGAAGGGAGGGAGGTAGAAAAGAAAGGGAAAATAATGTAGTGTTACAACAGGAGGAAGGGAGGAAGGGATGGTAAATAAAGCATCCCCAACTGTATATTATAACCTATTAAATGAAATAATAAATGTATAAGAATGACAAATGTAAAGAAGAATAACAATTATGTGAATGTATACTTAAAATGGTGTTTAAGAAAATAAAAAATAAAAAAAACATTTTGAAAAAAAAAAAGAATTCTATTCTATTTAAGATTTGTGGACTTCCCATTCTGGGAGTTGAAGTCCACCCATCTTAAAGATGGACTAAGGTTGAGAAAAAACTGCTCCAAATCTCTAGCTAACTTAAATGCTACAAACATAGAGGCTCTGGTTTACCTTGCAGTTCAAACAGGGAACTTGCATCAGTGGCAGTTTCCGAAGGGGCTTGCGTAATAGGGCGTAGGTAGGACCTGTAACCTTTCAGGATCGAAGCCATAAACGTGAGAAACGCCTCTTGAATTTCTACATCTAACAGATGCAGCTTGGAGCCTGATTGAAAATCGTAGTCATTCATAGCCAGCTCCATTAAAGCATCGTCACGGGGTCTTTGCTGCACTGCGGGATAAAAAATAAAAAAGGAGAAATGTCAAAACATGGTTATATTTAAAGAATGACGGAGGTGGAAGGGGCTTTGGGGTCTTCTAGTCCAACCCCCTTCTCCAGCAGGAGACCTCTACCGTTCTGGACAAATGGCTGCCTAGACTCTTCTTAAAATCCTCCAGTGATGGAAAAACCCACAATTTATTTACTTATGAAACTTATATCCCACCCATCTTACTGTTACACAGCAACTCTGGACAGCTTATAGATAACGTTCCAAAGATGCTTTTTTCAGGAGGAAACTGGACTTCCTTGTTTTTTCTTTTGAAGACTTTTGCTTCTCGTCCAAGGAGCTTCTTCAGCTCTGACAGGATAGTGGGGAATGGAAGATATGATTTATATTCCTTGCAGACAGCTGGTCATTTGCATCCTTTTTTAAGGGTTGTTGAAACCCTTGGAAGTTTATCTGTGTCCTCAGAGTCACCTGAGTGGTGCTCCTGGTTCCTGTAGTCTGCAATGAGCTGAAGCTTCTTGGGTGAGAAGCGAAATGTCTTCAAAAGAAAAAACAAGAAAGTCCAGTTGCCTCCTGAAAAAGCACCTTTGGGGCAACCAGGACCTGGATGACGGAGAATCTCCATAGACAATTAGAACATATTCTTTTGGACACAGAGAAGAACTCTTGCTCAAGGTCTAAATCATCTAAATCAGACTTACAGACAATAGAAGCATGAAAAGATAATATACGACCATTAAAAATGAAGGAAGATTAAAGAAAAGACTAAAATATTAAATATTCTTAGTATTGACCACAGTATTTCTTTCTCCTCTGCCAGGCTGATTTTTCATTATCTGATTGCACTAGATACATTTTGCTAGCAGTGACAAGCCCACCACTGACCTTCTCAAACCTGCAGGACAGCTGATTTGCACCCAGAAAGCATAATTCAAAAGCAACAAAGGCTGCCTCCAGTGAGGTGGGGTTAAATCTGATTTAGGCACAGTGCCAACTGTCCAACTAGTGGGCCCAAAATAAGGAAACACTCTCAGGAGCTTTGAATTCCCAAAAGTAAAACTTTATTGAATATGCCATTGTGGTACTGAAGAATCAAAACCAGCTCTGGTTTGCTGAGCAAATGCTTTCCTAGTTAAACAATGGCTTCCCTTTTTCCCCACCCCTGGGCGATAACACTGTCCAATTATGAAACATCCTTTTGTTATGGGAACAGTCCACCTCCTTCTCAAGAACCTGCAGTCGTGAACTTGCCAGGATCTGTGCTCAACTTCTCAGCATTCCATTTCCCCTTCCACCCCGTTTATTGGCAAGTTGAATAGTGATAGAGTTTGAAAGAAACAAAGAGGTTCTATCATGACACACAGTCAACATCCAAGGTCCACAAGAACTTTCTAAAGGTCTGAGCTTCTCAACCTTCTCCACTTTAAAACTCTAGGACTTCAACTCCTAGAGTTGACAAGGTTGAGAAATATTGTCTAAGGCAGGTGTGTCAAACTCGATTTCATTGAGGGCCACATCAGGGTTGTTTGACATGGGAAGGGGTGGCCAGGGTGAAACTGGCGAGCTCCACATCACTCATGTCGGGGGCTCTTGTGGTGGCCCGAGTGCTCTGCCAGTGAAAATGGGCTCCTGAGCTCTGTTTCAGCTGTGACAGCCTCCTGCAATCCTCTTACAGTGAAAACAGAGTTTGGGAGGGATGGGACAGAGCTCCGTTTTCTCTGGCAGAGGCACTGCGGCAGGTTCCTTCACTGTTTCCAGGGCGGCCCCGTGGGCCAGATCTAAGCACCCTGCGGGCCAGATCCGACCCCTGGGCCTTGAGTTTGACACCCCTGCTCTAAGGATTTAAATAAAAGGATTATTTTTTAAACCTTAGCCAGGGTTGCAAAGGAAGTGATACATCATGCAAATCAGGTGCTGGGTCCCTCGGTGCTACTTCCCCAAAGCACACATTTCCCTCTGTATAACCTGAATCTAACTTCCCTCTGCTCCTCCTCGACGTGAAAAAGAGTTTCACTATCATAGTGTACCACAACCACAATCACAGAGGGTCTTCTGGGCCCTCCTCCACTTACATGCTGCCAGCTGATGATACAAGTGATTTAAAGTGCTCATCAGTTTCTTACAAGGCTTCTTCGGCAAGATCTTCCATGCGATCGTTCGCTTATCTCCTGGCCTGGAATCCAAAGGGAAATGTGAAGGATTAAGAGCCACAGTGGCGCAGTGGTTAGAGTGCAGTACTACTTCTGCTGCCAACAGTTTAAACAGTTCGATTCTCACCAGGCTCAAGGTTGTCTCAGCCTTCCATCCTTCCGAAGTGGGTAAAATGAGGAACCCAGATTGTTGGGGACAATATGCTGACTCTGTAAACCGCTACAAAGCACTGTGAAGGGGTATATATGTCTAAGTGCTATTACTATTCATTGAGACCAAATATTGACTCAAATATTTGGTAAAAACTGAGCACCAGAACTCCCAGAAGTGATTTCTGCTTTAGTATTGTCAGCTGAACTTAATCCAATGGAATGGAAATCTTCAATGCCATGTTTCCCTGAAAATAAGATCTCATTTTCTTTTGACCCCTGAAATAAGTGCTTGGCCTTATTTTCGGGGAGGTCTTATTATTTTTGAGATACAGGAGGCGGCGACCGTGGTCACCTCAGGGCTGCTGCTGTGTTGCAATATTTTCAGGGAAGGCTTATTAGAAGTAAATATCTACTTCTGCCTTCTCATCTGCAAGGAAATCATTTCTATAATCTAGAAGGGGACCTAATTTGGGCCGCAGGTAGGACTGGTTAGGAGAAAAACCAAGTGTTTCAGAGGCAAGCAGAGAATGAAGAATCAGAGTGATCATTATTACATTATTATTATTAAATTTATTTGCTGCCTTTCTCATGGTTTGAAGTGATTCTGCTTTTCCTTTCCTGGCATCATTATTTCACCCATGGCAATGTAGATGGGATGACAAATTGCAGCAGGAAGGTTCTCTTCCCACCCAGAATGACCCAGCAAATATAAATAGAAAAACCAAATATGAATATTTATTCCTTTCCTTCCTGGATGCAGGCACTCTGGCTTTCTGGGTGAAGCTATTCTCAGCTTCTGCAGAAAAAATTGCTTGTTGGGTTGCATAAAAGGAAGTTCAGTTTTCCTGGAGCACGTGACTATTGCTTGGTGCAAATGACAGATTCTTTAGTTGAGCTACAATACCCTTCATTGGGTATTGGTTCTGTCGAGCACTCGACACCCTATTTGAAATTCTCCAGCTCTGTCATTCAATCACAAAAAACTCAAATTTTAGGTTTTCTAAAAGGGATTCGAACCACCGAACTGCCGACCTTTTAGATCGACAAGCTCAGTGTCTTAGCCACTGAGCCACCGCGTCCCAATACCAAGTGTAACCATACATAAAACAGATTTCCAAGTTCAGAAGCAGTTAAACTTTGAATAAATTAGAATTTGTTCATGAAAGCCGTTTCCTTCACTTTAACAGGCAAATTTTCCCCTGCAATTTTTCCTTTTGATGGAGCTGCTTAAAACTAGATCACAAAGTTGTATTTCATGTTAAGAAATATTTTTTCACCCCAAGGACTTCAACTTTTTGTGGTAGTAAAGCTTTTCCGAAGTACTAAGAATAATGGAAGGACTATCTGCTAAGTGTTTAAAAGATTAATTTGTACACGGACTGGCAAAAACAAATTGCTGAGGCAACCAATATGTTTTTGTCATTCACTAATGCACTGTTCCTGTAAAGCAAGGCAATAAAAGAAAACAAACAGATAATAGTCCTTACACGAACGTTTCTCCTCTATTTCTAGTTCAGCATGAAATTTATTAGGTAAAGGGCCAATTATTCTCTTAATCTTGCTTCCCAGTTTAAAACTAATGCCAGTTTATTTTACAAGGCTATTGCAACAACATGAAATAGATTACAAGCACATGCTAAATAATTATATTTACTAAATGTAATTTGCCTCTGTGAGATATCTAATATCCAAGGATTAAATGCTTATCTTCAAAACAATGTTTTTAGCGGAATCAATTTACAGATTCAACTGTACGTTTTTCTACTGCTCAGTAAACAAGGGACATCCGTGCAAATGTGAACGGACCCTTTCATTCCCTTCTCTGATAAATAATTTAGCAAACCAAGGAAAATTAATTTAAAAGTCTGCTGCCCCCTGAATTACATATGATCAAAAAAGCAAGGAAACGAAGCTCTCCAAATACTTACTGTGAAATGGTGTTTGTATCTAGGTCAACACAGCTAACATCTGGCGGTGGGTCATAAAGATCAAAATATCTGGAATCAATTCCCACTATGAATGGACACGGTGCGCTCAGAACATCAGCCAGGGCTAGAGGGCAGAGAGGAATGTACGGGCATGGCCAGTGGAAAGGAAAGATCATCTTTCAAAAGAGAAGAACAAACATATTGAATGCAGATAGCTAGATGTGCTTCAAGAAAAATAGGGTGGACAGCCTGTAACTCTTGAACTCATTTCAATCCACCCAAAGAGATGATTTAGACCTTGACCAAGAGTTCTGTGAGTCCCAAAAGAATACGTTCTAATCAATGTCTATGAAGATTCTCATCCAGGTCACAAAGGTGCTTTTTTCAAAAGGCAATTGGACTTTCTTTTCTTTTTTAAAGTTTTTTTTTTTTTTTTTTACAAACATATCAATGCGTGAACAATGTGGCACCTGGGTGTCATACATTCCAATCAGAGGTGGGTTGCTCCCAGTTCGGCCAAACCAGTAGTGGTGATCTGGCCTGGGTAGCAGAACCAGCAGCGAGCCAGGCTGGCCATGCCCCCAAACAGGTCCCCTGGTCTTTTCTGCCGTTGCCGACATGTTTCTGCACATGCGCAGAACAAATTTCAGTCAACTGTGCATGCACGAGCAACGCAAAGCAAATCGGTACCAACTGGTACAGGAACCCAGCCCTGATTCAAATACAAATAAAACTAATAGAATTAGTCATAGTTATTATTTTAAACCAATATATATATTTCTAATAGTAATACATATTTATATGCAATCTGTCATTATTCAATTATTCCATGTTTTTTTCTTATTATTGCTCTTCTTTTATTATTAAAATGAATAATAATTAAAATAATAATATTATTATTAAAAGTATATGCACCAATATTCCCCTTTGCTGACTTCCTGGAATGACAACTTAACTTCCTTCTCAGCTCTGTTTGCCATCTCTTTTGGGGTGCTTAGTGGCTGTCAGTGTTGCCTAAAATAACTTTGGGTTTCTATCTCTTATTCTAACTTTTAATCATGTCATCTTTTGTTAAAAAACATTTTCTTTCTATCCTACTGAAGAAAGATTAGATTAGCTTCTAATCATGTCACCTACAAAAAAAAAGAAAAGAGAGAGGAAAAGAGAAGCCAATCAAAATAACACCAAAAATGAAAAATCATTTATCCATCATCTCATGCCCACTTTAATACTTTAATTGTTATGCTTTTTTTTTCTTTTTGACTTGAGCAATTGGACTTTCTTAGTTTTTCCACAAAGATGTTTCATTTCTCTTCCAAGAAGCTTCTTCAGTTCTGACCTGACCTTCAGTCAGAACAAGAGAAGCTTCTTGGATGAGAAGCAAAAGGTCTTCAAGGAAAAACTAAGTCCAGTTGCCTTTTGAAAAAGCACCTTTGGAATGTTTTGCAGAAGAAAAAGAGGGTTTCAGACTATAAGCATCTCAAAGGATCTATGCATTCTTGTTATTAGGAGATAATATTGGAATGTTCATTTTATTGATTGTACTTATTGGTCCATGTCTGATGTCTGATTCTGCTTGATCCTCCATGAGGACTAGCATATTATTATACCTGGAAAAAGATGTTTCTTGACAAAAGAAAAGCTGTCTGCCTTGGAAGAAAAGGGAACATTCACGAACCATGTTCTACTTTCAATACTTGCACATCATTATTGAAAGTAGCCATTCCTTTCTTTTGAAATATTAATTAAGCCAATGGATAGATACAGTTGGGAAATTTTCATCAATAAACCGCTTGAAATAATAGTATTAATAATAACCCATGATTATTTATTGACATATCTATATTAAAGTGCTCTTGTCTGCACTCTAGAAAGTGTGCAGAAAAGATGATTAGGAGACTGGAGGCTAAAACATATGAAGAATGGTTGCAGGAACTGGGTATGTCTAGTTTAATGAAAAGAAGGACTAGGGGAGACA